AATAATTAATAAAATAATTAATATTTATTATTTAATAATTAACATTAATTTATATGTTAAAAATTTCAAACATCATAATTAAATATTAAAAAAATTCTAAATTAATGAAATATTGATCAAATCAAATAAAATTTGTGTAGTCATTATGTTTTTATGAGCTGTCATAACTATACCAATTCGTCATGAGAAAAAAAAAAGGGTGAAAATGAGTTGAGTTGAGTATTTGCACACTCGAATTTGGCTTGTATACCCAACAAACAAGCCAAGTTTGGAATGAATAACTCACAAGTTGCAAACGTATTTATAATTTAAAATAATTAAATTAAATTATTTAATTTATTCATTTTTTAGTCTAAACGAAAGTGTAACATGAGCTGATAATTTATAGTACGTGTTCGAAATTGAGCTCAAACTTAGTTTGTTTAACAAATAAATTAAGTTTGAACTAAGCTTAAATCAAACAATTCATAAACTACTCGATGCAATATTTACAACATTAACAAAAAGTATTATTTTGAATGTTAAATTTAGTGTTTATACTTTAAGGTTAATACTTAAAGAATTTAATTTTTGACGTAGAGTTACATTTTTAAAAATTATTTTAAAGATGAATTAATTTTAAAATGCATAAAAATTGACATAAAAACAACTTTACTTTCCAAACAAAAAATGTTTTATTGATTTGTTTTCATGATAAATACCACAAGTTCTCTTCCAAATTTAAAGTTACAAAGCAGCAAGCATTATGTACCTCTTCATTTTCATTCCATTATTTGGTAGATGAAAGTTACCCGTTAATTAGATTGTAATTTGTATTGAACCATTGTCCCTATCATGCTTAGCGTTGGTCCATTTCCTAAAATAATTAGGTCATTTTTAGTAGGGAATGAAACGATGTTCTTTTAAAACTCTTTTCAATTCATTTGTGTTCAATCATCTTTTTGTCTGTGTTAGGCAAATTGAAGTGGTGTGTAAGACTTGAAGGGTTTTGCTTAAACCCCATTAAGATTTTGTCATCATGAAAACAAAAAATTAAAGATTTTATAAAAGCAAAACTTTTCAAGTGTTTTTCTTTGTTAGCTATTGCATAATTCACAAGTTCTTAATGCTATTATTATTATTATTATTATTTTTTTATGTTTGTTGCACAATGAGAGATAATCCTTTCTTCTTTTTTTTTTATCTCACTCCACTCGCATGTTATACAATTCGAACTCGAAACTTCTTATATTAATAAAAAGATATTACTACTAAATTATTTAGATAGTTAACATTTCTTAACACTATTATTAAAAGGGTTTACTAACTATATCTATTAGAATCCTTTTCTATTATGTCATTTTACAAAGATAACTGGACTTGGAGAGTTTGAGAGAAGAACATGGTGAGAGATACGTTTGGTATCCACATATCCAATCGGCTTGTCTTCTAATAAGCATGTTTGTGTTATATTGTCTCGAAATTGATTAAAGTTTTGGAGGCCAACATTTTAGCACCAACAAGAATTAAATTCAACCGATACTCATAAATTTAAAAAAAAATTATTTAAGATTTAGAAAATGATATAAACTTCTATTTTTTAAAGTGATTAATTTTTGATATATTGAACAGAAACTTAAATTTCATAACTTTTTATTATTTTAATATATATATACCGTTTAATTAATTTAATGACATGTTTGTTCAATCTTTTCGGAAATGATCTTATTGTATTCGATTTTTAATTTTACTTTAAGTTACACACCAAAAAAGCACTCTTACCTTATAATTCACTTCATTTACATATCTTATAATTTAAAATAAAAATTTCTTAATTTTATTAAATAAAATTATTATTATTATTAAACTATTTAAATTA